CATTGTTGAGAAGATATTGCGGTCCATGGCACCCCAGTTCAATTATGTTGTCTGTTTAATTGAAGAATCCAAGGATGTTGACACACTCTCCCTTGATGAATTCCAAAGTTCTCTGCTGGTCTATGAACAGAACATGAATTGAGATTCAACTACAGAGGAACAAGCTTTAAAGACTTCTACCCCTGTTTCTTCTTCAAATTCTAGAGGTAGAGGTAGAGGCAGGGGTAGATGTTGAGGCAGAGGAAGGGGTGGCAGTGATGATCACTCTCAAGGTAGAGGCAGAGGACGAGATCAGCAATATGCCAAATCCAAAATAGAGTGTTTTCGATTTCATAAATTCGGTCATTATCATTCTGAATGTTACACTAAGCTGCTTAATGACAAAGAAAATGAAGAGACTTCAAATTTTATCGAGAAAAAGGAGGCAGAAACATTGCTGATGGTTGTTCAAGACGAAAAAGAACCCGAGTCAGAAATCTGGTATGTGGATACAGGATGCAATAGATTTTCATTCTACTGTGAGTTTTGGTGATAGTTCTACTGTGAAAGTGATGGGAAAAGGTGATATTAAGATAAGAACCAAGAATGGTCTTGTGGAAACAATCTCTAATGTATTGTATGTTCCTGACCTGAAAAGTAACTTATTGAGTGCTAGTCAGTTATAAGAAAAGGGTTATGTTATCACTATTAAAAAGGGTCTTTGTGAAATTTATGATCCTGTTAGAGGTGTTATTGCAATTGTTCAAATGAGTTCAAACAAATTGTTTCCATTAAAGATTGAAAGTATCCAATCTTGTTTGATGGGTGAAATAAAAGATCCTTCACGGTTGTGGCATTTTCGTTATGGTCACTTGAGTTTTGGTGGATTGAAGACCCTTCAACAGAAGAACATGGTCACAGGCCTTCCAGAAATTACTACCCCTTCCCAAGTCTGTGAAGAATGTGTTGTTAGCAAACAACATCGTTCTCAATTTCCCAAAGGAAAGTCATGGAGAGCAAAGGATATTTTGGAGCTGGTGCACTCGGACATTTGTGGACCAATAAACCCATCTTCTAGTGGAGGTAAAAGATATTTTGTTACCTTTATTGATGATTTTTCAAGAAAAACTTGGGTTTATTTTTTACAGGAAAAATCAGAACCTTTATCTACATTTAAAAACTTCAAAGCTCATGTGGAAACTGAAGTAGGAAAGTCCATTAAGAGCCTTTGTACAGATCGTGGTGGTGAATATTGCTCAAAAGAATTTGAAGTTTTTTGTTCAGAGCATGGCATTTGAAGAGAGCTTACAATTGCGCATACACCACAACAAAATGGTGTATCGAAGAGGAAAAACAGAACCATTCTCAACAGGGTGAGAAGTTTATTGGCAAGAGGAAGAGTTCTAAAGACTTTTTTGCCAGAAGCAGTAAACTAAAGCATTTATGTTTTGAACAGAAGTCCAACTTTTGCTGTTCAAAATATGACACTAGAAGAGGCTTGGAGTAGGAGAAAATCAGCTATGGATCACTTTAGAATCTTTGGATGCATCACTTATGCTCATGACCCGGATGAGAAAAGGAAGAAACTTGATGACAAGGCTGAAAAATGTGTCTTTCTTGGTGTAAGTGAAGCATCAAAGGCATATAAATTATTCAATCCACTACAAAGAAAATTGTGACCAGCCGGGATGTTGTTTTTGAAGAAGAGAACACTTGGGATTGGAATAGGCAGCAACCTACCCAAGTCCTTTATGACAACAATGATGAGCTGGAAGAAATTTCAGCACCTTGTATGCATTGAAATTCATCAAGTACAACCCCAACAGCCTGCTTGGATGGAAGATTATGAGGTAATTGGAATTCAAGAACCAATTACTCACTTTGCTTTATTTTCATATTGTGATCCTACAACTTTTGAGAGTGCTGTTAAAGAAGAAAAATGGCGAAAAGCGATGGATGATGAAATTGATGCCATTGAAAGAAATGATACATGGGAACTATCTGACCTTCCAAAAGGACACAAAACCATTGGTGTAAAGTGGGTCTACAAAACAAAGCTGAAAGAAAATGGTGAAGTTGACAAGTACAAGGCACGCTTGGTTGCCAAGGGATACAAGCAGCAATATGGGATTGACTATACAGAAGTGTTTTCTCCCGTTGCAAAACATGACACAATCAAATTGGTGGTTGCTTTGGCGACACAAAATTCTTGGTCTATTTTTCAGCTAGATGTCAAATCAGCATTCTTGCATGGGTACTTAAAGGAACAAGTATTTATCGAACAACCCCCTAGTTATGTCAAGATTGGAAATGAGCATAAAGTTTACAAATTAAAGAAAGCTCTTTATGGGCTAAAACAAGCCCCACGGGCTTGGTATAGTCGCATTGAATCTTATTTTCTTAAAGTTGGTTTTAGAAAATGTCCTTACGAGCATACACTTTTTGTGAAGATTGGAGATAAAGGGAAAATGCTCATTGTTTGTTTGTATGTTGATGACCTTATTTTTACTAAAAATTGTGATGACATGTTTGAAGAGTTTAAGAAATCTATGATGAACGAGTTTGAAATGTCTGATCTTGGTATGATGCATTACTTTCTTGGAATAGAAGTGGTGCAATCATGTGATGGGATATTTATTTCTCAGAAGAAATATGTGGGAGAAATTCTGGACAAGTTTGAAATGAAAGATTGTAATCCTGTAAAAACTCCATTTGAGGTTGGCTTGAAACTACACCAAGACCATGAAGGGAAGAAGGTTGACAACACACTTTACAAACAGATTGTGGGCAGTTTGATGTATCTAACTGCAACAAGACCAGACACAATGTATTCTGTAAGCATAATTAGTAGATATATGGAGAAACCTACAGAATTGCATTTGTTGGCAGCCAAAAGAATCCTTCGTTAGTTGCAAGGAACTAAGGACTTTGGGTTGTTTTACAAAAGGGGTGCAAAGTCTAATTTGCTGGGATTTACTGACAACGATTATGCAGGAGACCAAGATGATAGGAAGAGTACTTCGGGTTACGTTTTTATGTCTGGGATAGGTGCTATTTCATGGTCATCCAAGAAGCAATCGATTGTCACCTTGTCAAGCACAAAAGCTGAATTTGTTGCTGCAACATCTTGTGCTTGTCAAACGATTTGGCTTAGGAGAATTCTTGAAGAGTTGAAATTCAAGCAACTAGATGCTACTACAATTTTTTGTGACAACAATTCAACCATCAAGTTGTCCAAAAATCCTATGTTACATGGAAGAAGCAAGTATATAAATGTGAAATACTATTTTCTAAGAGACCTAAGCAGTGATGGCACCATTGATCTGAAGTATTGCAAAAGTGAGGAACAATTGGCTGATATATTTACTAAGCCTCTCAAAATTTCTCCCTTCCAAACTTTGAGAAGGTTGATGGGTGTTTGCACTTTGAAGAATGTTGATGTTGCTGTTGCACAAGTAAACTGAAGCACTGCAGTGTTCAGTTAAAGGGAGGGATTGTTAAGATAATATTAATTGTTTTCTGCACGTTTATGTTTCTAGTTGTAGTCTCAGTCAATGTGTCCTAGTCTTTAGGAGATTAATTATAGTATTTGAATATGGGTTTGTTTAGAGTCCATAGTTAAAGTAATTGTGCAGAACGTGGGTTTGTTTGGAGTCCTATTTACATGCATTTTCTATTATGAATTTGTCTATTTATTGGGTTCAAGACTTCTGAATAAAGATACAGAGAGAGAGAAACACATTTCTCTTATCTAAGTCCTGGGTTCTCTATCTTTTCAATTGCTTTTGTTAACGGTCTACTCCTTTAATTTCTTTTATTGACAGATGGATTGTTTTTACCTTCTCTTAGCTTGAAGAGAAAAAAAGGAGGAAATAATTCTTGCATTAGCTAAAGAAATTAGGTTTTCTTTTCTGAATACATTTTTCCCTTTTGCTAAGAAATCCTCCCTTAAAAAGAATTTCCAAATAGCCCCCTCCTACAACACCCACTCTCCCATTATTAACCTTAGTGGGTTCTTTTGGGTATTACAGTATTGGTCCCCAGGAATCCCGGCCATCTATGTTTGGTTTGAAGGGAAAGATAGGGAAAGGAAGAGAAAGACGGGAAACCAGTACAAAATTTGTAAAGGTTTTCTTACCTTTACCTACATTTTCATTCAAACCAAACATGCCTGGTTCGTTTTTCAGTATCCAGGTAACGTGATAAACAGGCAGGAATTGCTTAAGTGCCAATGTTTGATCGGGTTTTACATTTTTTAATAATAATAAAGGCAGAAAATGATTAACGTTTTTAGTGTATGATAAGCAATTTATTCAGCCTCCAAGAAAAGCACCAATTGCCTGAAAAACTGATAGTTTCTAAAATATTCATTTTCTGTAAACTCATTATAATGATGCACGAATGCAGAGAAATTATCAACTATCCAGATGACCAACTTATCCGACAAGATATCGACGAACAAACAGAACCTTAATATATCATCCTTCCCGCACCATACCACCTCCACCTCATGGTGGAATAGAGTCCGGTTCACCTTGACAATAAAACACGTTCCACCTCTCGACCAACATGTGGGGTTGGAACATGTTTTGTTGGCTGAATAGATCGGAGGGTCAGCCGGGTATTCCATCAGTTCTTGGGATTTGGGGAAACGTTCGATCAGCCCATTGGGCACATGTCTACCATGTGATTTGTGTTTCTTTATTAGCTCCATAATGACATAATGCCAATTAATGTATAATAATTCATTAATTAATTAGGTAATGTCAGATTTTATCTTGGAGTTCCCATACTTTGAACTTCGAAGGACACGAAAACATGACTCCGTTTATCCAAAACCGATACGTTTCGTTGCAAGTTGCATCCGGAGCCGATACGTTACACCGAGGTAAGAAGATCAGTAGAACACTCCAATTTGGTTGGATAATACCATAAAAAGGCTGTAGTACCGAAAACCTGGAATACTCCATTTTGAAAACATTGAGGATATTTTAGTCATTTCATCCTCTCATTCCTAAAGACAAAAGAAGCCGATAACGGAGACTCTCCTCACGGTCACATCTATGCTACTCCTCCATGTGACTTCCTGAAAACGCCCATCCCAATTCCCTCTCTCTCTCTCTCCCCTTCTTCCTCTGTTCTTCAAAGAAAGAATCACACTAATAGATGAAAAAGAAATTCAAGAAAGAAAGAGGACTGAACATCCAAATCCCAACCGAACCAACCAAGAAAATCGACTTCATTTCTTAAAGAAACGATGGAAAAACGAACTACCAACTACCCATCTCTTTAATCTTTGTGTCTTCGCCTTCACTTTTTCTCCAACCTAAAACGAAAGCCCCATCTCAACTACTGAACCTCTCTCCAAGCTCTCTTATTTGGTTATTCTTCAAATCCCCGGTGGCATGGTGGAACTGCAGAGAACCACCAAGAGCAGGGGGTTCTATGTCAGGATGAAGCTCTTGCACAACAGACATGGAAGACAAGAGAAGAGCTCCTGCTACAGATATTTCAGATGGGTTGTCTGGGTTTCTTTATCCCTCTATTTCTTCAGCTATTACCTCATTAGTAGCTCCAGCAAACCCACCTTGCTCCCTAAAACCACCGTCTCAGTTTCAAAGACCAGCTTTGTCTCTCGAGCCTTGTTCGAGTCCAATACAACTCTTTCACAACAACTCAGTAGAACCAAACAAATACACTTGTCTGAGTTGTCTCGAGGTTCGATAAATTTGATCTGTTTCGCTTCCTGCTTCATAACTCTGGTTACTCATCCATCTCATTCGATTTTCTTTCGTTTTCTTTAGGGTCGTTCGACAATTTGAAGGTTTATATCTACGATCTCCCTTTGAGGTACAACGCAGACTGGTTAGCAAACGAGCGATGCAGCAACCATCTCTTTGCAGCCGAAGTAGCCATACACAAGGCATTAATGGATAGTGACGTCCGGACGCTAAACCCATGGGAAGCCGATTTCTTCTTTGTTCCCGTTTACGTGTCCTGTAACTTCAGCACCGTTAATGGCTTCCCGTCGCTCGGTCACGCGCGGCCTCTTCTAGCGTCAGCTGTGCAGCTCATCTCTTTGGAAATGCCGTTCTGGAACCGAAGCGGCGGGTCCGATCACGTCTTTGTCGCTTCCCACGATTACGGAGCTTGTTTTCACGCTATGGTGAGTCAAAGATTCTTCATTTTCCTTTGTTGTCTTCTCCGGTGCAGGTTTTCCAGTTTACTCAAAATGGGCTGCTCGAAGAAACAAGGGTTTTACTTATTTTAATCTTTTGTCTTCTTTGTAATTTCGTGAAGGAGGAAGTAGCTATCGCAGACGGGATTCCTCCGTTCTTGAAGAAATCGATCATACTGCAAACATTTGGTGTCAGTTTCCGGCATCCCTGTCAAGACGTCGAAAATGTGTTGATACCGCCCTACGTTTCGCCGGAGAGTATACGGTCGACGCTGGAAACGGCGCCGGAGAACGGCAAAAGGGACATATGGGCATTTTTCAGAGGCAAGATGGAAGTTCATCCCAAGAACATCAGCGGACGGTTTTACAGCAAGTAATTACTTAGTTATCCCCTGTCAACCAAAATCCCAAAAAAATCTTAAATTACAGCAATACCCCTTACGAAGAGGGTCGTCTGCGGCGAAAATCAGTAGATGTATAGGACTCTTTGGTCAATCCGAAGAACTAACAATAAAGAGTCTTGTCTGACAAAGCGGGCGGGATTTTCTAGGGTATTTCTGTAAAAACGAACGACACGATGTCTAGAATTTAACTTTCTGAGATAATTCCCTTAATTTTTGTAGGCGAGTACGGACGGTGATTTGGGAGAAATACAACCGGCACCGGAAGTTTTACTTGAAGCGGCATAGGTTTGTCGGTTATCAGTCAGAGATTGTACGGTCGGTCTTCTGCCTCTGCCCACTTGGCTGGGCCCCGTGGAGCCCTCGACTTGTCGAATCGGTCGCCCTCGGCTGTGTTCCGATCATCATTGCGGACGGCATTCGGTTGCCATTCTCGGATGCCGTCCGGTGGCCGGAGATATCGCTCACCGTTGCGCAAAGGGACGTCGGGAGCCTCGACAAAATACTCGACCACGTTGCTTCAACTAACCTGTCGACCATCCAAAGGAACTTGTGGGACCCAGCCAATAGGCGGGCCCTACTGTTCAACGATCAAGTCCAAGAAGGAGATGCCACCTGGCAAGTGCTACAAGAACTGTCAAAGAAGCTTCAGAGGTCGTACCGGAGACGGGCCACTTCGTAGCGAGTGAAAGCGGGATACGTGGCGCTTTTCCCAACGTGGGTGCTGATGCAGGCAAAATAATGGAGGACAGCTGTGTTTCTGTTGGACTGCTTCGAATTCACGGGAGCCCTGGTGGGGACACGTGTATGTACATTGGAGATGGGGACATCTGGTTGGCTGGATGATCCGTAGTGCGGGAACTACGATGAGACCGGATCTACGATGGTCTCAGCGCTACAGGATAAAATAAAAAAAAAGGCTTTGACAAAGAGAAGAGGAATAAAATAATGGAATTGATCATGTATGTGGAGAAAGAGAGAGAGAGAGAGAGAGAGGAAATATTGTTTATTATTTATTATTTATTTTTGAAAAGAATAAAAAAACGGAAATGGATAAATTTACAGCTGGGCTAGGAGAGAATCTTTAATGGCAAAAGGGAAGTGGGCTGGTTGCCAGCTGAAGTGTCAGAAAGCTTTAAATACTTTTGCGTGTTTGCTTGTTTTTTAGGTGGTGGTCACGGAATCAATTTGTGGGCAGCAAACGTGGACTTTGTCTCTGTTGTGTAATGTGTTCTCCCCATTTTGTGTATTTGCCTGCTTGTCCTTGTACACCAGGGCGGTAAGTGTGGACACCAACTTGGGCGTTGGGCCCTGTGGCCGTGGCCGTGTAAAATGAAGTCTGACCTCTCCCATCAGGCCATCACACATTCACACGCTGAACCAAACATGGGGCTGTAATCGGGTTGGACTTCTGGTTTGTTGAAATTCGAAACACTGAAATCCTATCCGAAATATTGGATTCGGATCAGATTACTCCGACTCCGCTATATTATCGTTGAAGTAAATAAAAAAAGTTAATTATATTTAACGAATATATAATATTAAATATCTATATACGATATATGAGTATAATACTCTTATCGGATCGGACGGGTCAAATCCGCAAGGGATCCGGTCATTACGGATACAGGTCTTAACATTCAAATCCGAGTAATGGGATCTGATGTCAGATCGGACATTGAATTTTTGGAATCCATTGACAGTCTAAGTAGGGATATACTTTCACCAGAATGCTTCAACAATCCTACGGGGAGATGTTCCCAATCTATGGCTGCAATGGCTTATTTGGACGTGGTTGGGACAATGTATTAGTAGCTAATCTGAACTCAAATCCGACTAATGGGATCAGATGTCAGATCGGATACTGAATTTAGGCTCTATTCACAGTCCAGGTAGAGATATATTATCAAATATCAACAAAATGCTTGGGACATGGTTGGGACCGTGTGTTGGTAGCTGATGTGCAACTCTTGTCAGCGCTAACCAAGCCAACCCAACCCAACCCCTTTAGACGCGTGGGTGGGCTGTAGCAGCTTGCCACTTGTGAAACCTTGAACGGTTGCAGTAATCCAATTATTGACTTTTAAGGTGGGCCCATAGGTCTTTCATCTTCACGGAACGGATCCGCTCCTCACACAATGTTTCTTCAGTGTAAATTACAGACTACCACCTGTATTTAGGGGTAGTGATAGGGGTAGTGATATTTAACGCCTTGAAATTTTGGATTTTAGCACTTCTTCCCTACCCCCCAATGACAATGAGGCTGAGAGCAAAGGTAAAATTATTAAACTATCCATTGGAGGAAGATTCATAGAATGAGTTAGGGATTTAATTGTGTTGTGAAAACGGGTTATAGCTTGTAACTTTTGGGCCCTAATATCAATAAAAATAATTCTTTTAAAAATATATCAAATAAGGGCAAAAATGTTATTCATCTTCTTTCTCCTCCAAACCATCGAATAAATTCTCTCAAAATTAATAAATATTGATCATAAATCTCTAGTTTTTTGTTCAACCTTGTACTTATTGGCTTGCTACAAGTAAAAATGGCGAAGCCCATTCTTGCATTTTTTGTATTTTATTTTATGCACCTCGCTTCTCCACTTAATGGTGTTTAGAAATCAGAACTGTTTCAGATACCTCTAACATGCTTATTAGCTAGAACCAAACTATCGATTCTTGTACTTGGTATATTGTTTCATGTGTTCTTCTAACTATTTCAAAAAAACTCATAGCAGCTCTGCTCTAAATTCAGATGTGGAGAAGAAGAAGAAAGAATAAGAGGAGGAGGAGATGGAAAGAGAAAGATAGAAACCTGAGGCGGTGAGATTTGTTCGGTGGTCTGAAGGAGGAAAGAGATGAACATTGATTTTACCATTTTTTAATATTTTTAAAAAAATTATCCTATTCCAAAAATTATATTAAAAAGATTAATTTTATTGAAATTAAGACCCAAAAGTTGCCCTTGTGAAAAAAGTGAATGAAACTCGGGGTTTATTGCAAAACACAATTTGAGGGAGCCATGCATAACAATCAACAATCAACATACAGCGCGAGGCAATAATAGCACATCCCAGCCCCACGTACTGGTGACCGGTGAGGTCTTGATATTTGCATTCATATTATTTCATCACGTCTATAAGTAACTGTATCGCATTTTGGGACGCCATTATTTTAATTTGTACTAGCTCAAACAATCAACAAGGCACCATTCATGATTATAACAATTATGAACTCACGGATGCCGTTTTGCATATTATATTAAGGGTAAATGGCTTAAACCTCTAACTTTGTAAAAAATGTCTAAAATATCCATTTAGTTATTTTCAATAAAAATGTTTATATTTTAAAATTTCTCTTCATATGAATCACTATCTCAAATTTTTCTAATTTCTTTTCTGAAATTGATTTATTTTTTAAAATTTTTCTTCATATTAATCACTCAAAGATAAAGGTACAACTTTAAATTCTCTTTATTTTTGTTGTTCATAAATTTTGTATTGTTTTCTTCCGGTAGAAACCAGCTTCAATAATAACTATATGAGTATTTTAGACATTTTCATGGTTTTTTTTTGCAATGCGATTTTATTTGCTTTGATGCAAATGCCTGTAAGTCCGAATTCTGGTTTGTTGCTAGTGGGTTATAATTCTCCCTTAGTTTGAATATGAGTTTATTGCTACTTTTCATTGTTACTACTACTTTCAATTTTCAACCAGCCCACATTGAGGGTGTCCTCTTCCTATCAACCAGACCACTTGGTGCCAACTGCCAAGTTGGTCATAAGGCATCTCTTGTATTGATGAGTCGTGGGGTTATATCATGGAAGTCAATCTCTCCGGCTCCTCCCATTATGAACCAATGGGTCCTATGTACATTTTGTCATTAATCCTATTGACCTACTAATTAAATCGTGTATAAAAAGTATCGCCCATACGAAAGAATAAAAAGAAAATTAGGCAATTCATCATTATTAGAAAAAATGTAGCTTTCTATCCAAATATACATAATTAGAATCATTAGGGCGTGCTGAATTTTGGGTCTAAGAACTTATAAACCTCATAATAGTTTGGATTATATTGGTATTTTGATGAGGACGTCCTCATTATATTATGCTTCTACTTATTGTCATTCAAAAAAGGAAAACTGAAACAAGTAACTGGGCTTGCCATCTTATAGACTCTAGTAGTTTCAGTTGGGAATTATGATATTCCACCTTGAACGATAAAAACTTCTATTTTTAAAAATTTAAGCATCGATCACCTTTTTCTTTCTTTTACTGTTGATCAACAGAAAAGATATATATTTCAGTAGGGTATGTCTAGAATTGGTATAGCATCTCACTGTTGTCAACCACTTAAGCTGTTTATGAGAGCACCTCTGGTAGCGGTGGTCATATGGCTGAATTGAAAGACCACTTGTACTCTCGAATCTTGAATATAAGTTTGAAAATTTTGCTTTTTGACTGAATGGAGCTGAAGTTGGGTTGATTATTATACATACCCTCGATGATTTATTAATTAATTGTTTTATCTACTAAGAGACAATACGTCAGTCATTAAGTTTAACCACTTCAACCATATTCAAACGGCTAATGCTAACAGTTCTTGTTTGATCCAGCTCCAAGTCTCTCTGCATCTTTTTCTTGTTCCTTTTGTAGTTAATAAACCGTTCCGAGCTTTAATATCTCATGAAAGGTTTGGCTTATGAGACTTGCGAGCTTAGTATTAAATAAATAATTTTATTATATATATATATACATACATACATACATATATACATATATAATAAATATACATATATATAATAATTTTATTATATATAATAATATTTTATTTTTTATGTATAATAGTAATTAGTTTTTATAATTTTTAATTTTTTTGTCTAAAAAATAAAAAATAATTTTATACATATAATTTTTTATTTTTCAAAAAAAACTTAGCTTGTAGTCGAGCACAAACTTGCAAACTATGAATTGAGTTGAGCTCGAGCTCAAGTCTTAAGATCAAATCGAGTTTGAGCTCGAGCTTGAACTTGAGCTTGATATGAATAACCAAGTATTCAACTCGGCTTGGCTCAAATCCACCCCTAGTGAAATATTCTATATTGTCATGTTCAGAGATGCTTGATTTTTTAGACTTTTATTGCTACATGTATTTCATTCTGGATCTCTTATATACCTACCAACTGCTTCGTCTCCATACCCACCAGGCACTACTAGTGTGTGTTGGGAAAATTTCTTCATGAATGACAAAGAGGGATATTCCCAATATACCTATAGTGCCACCTGGGTATGAATGTTGGAACAGTTTGTGGGTAGGCTTCTTGAATTGTAACTGAGCATTACTGAATGAATTCCACCTTATCATGTTTAAAAAAAATCCATGGTTCTCCGTTTAAAACTAAAATGTATGGTGGGATAAGGCGCCCCTTACAAGAGGTGTATTTTACCATTTGATTAAAGCTACAATGACGTACTTCCTCTTTTAATCCTTGGATCAAAACAACAAAGTGTAAGTGTATAAATTATGGTTTTCAAAACCAGACTGGACCGGAAAAACCGTTAATCAGTCAGGCCCCCGGGTCCAGTTATACTAAAAACCGGAAATTTCTAAAAAACGTTGAAAAAGTCAAAAAACCATTGATCCAGGCAGTGGGACCGCTAAACCATTCGACCCAGGCAGCGGTTCGTGGGTTCTCTTTTTTATTGTCACTGTTTTAAATAAAAATAGAAAAAAAAATAAAATTACTTTAATATCCCCAACTCAAATCGATTAATCAAATGTAGGGTTAGAACCCCAATACCCCATTTTCATTCTAACCCTTCATTCTTCCCTCCTCTCAGCCCTCACACCCAATTGACCACTTGCAGCGGCCAGCACCTTCGGCATTCAACGGTGACACACACACACACACACACACCGATCGATGGCGATTAACGGCGATCGGCGACGACGAGTTTGTAGTGGCAGCCAGCGTTTTTTGAAATTTGCAGCACTTCTAGGCTTTGCGGCAGGCGAGTTTGCAGCAACGGCCATCCCTCACACCCAATCGACCACCTGCGGCGGCTAGCACCTCCAACGTTCGATGGTGACACATACCGACCGACGACAAGTTTGCAGTGGCGGCCAACATTTTTTGCAATTTGCAGCACTTCTAGGCTTTGCAGCAGGCGAATTTGCAGCGGTTGTCCGGTGAGTTTGCAGCTGCGGGTGGGGAGTTTGCAAACACCACCATTGGCGATTTTGCGAGTTGCAACAACACTTGTAGTGGCAACTTGCTTGCAACCAAGCCCAAGCCCACAGGCGGCAAGCCCACTATTACACCACCATTACCGACAATGAAACCGTGAATGACCTGAAGGTATAATTTTTTCTGAATTTAATTGATTCTCTGATTTTTTTGCTTAATTATTTGTTTAATTAATCTTACTTAATAATTTTTTTCTGAATCCTTTGCTTAATTAATTATAGAGATTCACATTATCAAATTGGCTTAATTAATTTTGTTTTATTATTTTTTTTTCAATTCGATGCTTATTTGCTATGTGAATGATGATGATGATGATGATCAAATGATGTCAAGGAATGATAAGATATTAAAATCTCTTTTTTTTGGATTTTTTTATTTTTTTGCAAAATATGGTTTTTGTATTTTCTACAAACTCAATAATACAGAAGCTATTATTTTACTTGTGCAGTTGTGCTGACAATTTGTTATCTGTTTGGTTCTCTATAATTGAAATCTTAATATGCAGCATGACGAGGATTAAAAACTTGTATGACCTTGAAATGAAGAACTTGCAATTTTCTGTTTTATTTTCTGTGTTTTTTCAGTATTTTTCTGTATTTATTTTGCAATTTTCTGTTTTATTTTTCTGTTTTCTGTTTTCTTTCCATATTTTCTGTACTTTTTTTATATTTTCTATTTGTTATATACTTTGTTATTTTTGTATTTAGATAGCTTTATTTTTCTGTATTTTTTAATTTTTTTGTGTTTTTTATGTATTTTTTAGAATTTTTCTGTATATTATTATTATATTTTCTATGTATTTTGTACTGTACTATTTTTTATTTAGATAGTTTTATTTTCTGTATTTTTCTGTTTTTTATTTAATTTATGCTATTTTTTATTATTTATCCATATTTTTTTATTTTTAATTTATTTATGATGTCATGGTTCAAACCGTTTGACCCGAACGGTTGAACCGCTTAACCGGAAACCAGTCCCCTGGCCGGTTCTGTTTCCAGTTCGTTTTTAAAAACCATGGTATAAATATTTCATGCTCTTATCATTTGTGCCCTTAAGGCTGCGTTTGGTTATTTGCATTGATGCAAAATTATTATAGTGCAAATGATTTGAGTGTAAATTCTGATTTATTATTGTTTTAAATTTTAACATATTTTGTTTGATTTTAGTACAAAAGAAATACATTAAAACCTGAAGAGAATAAAGTAAAATATAAAAAAAAATTAAACAAGAATTTGCATTCTTTTCATTTGCACTCCCATGCATTTCTACTAGTGCAAATACAATTGCACTGCAACCAAACACAGCCTAATCAGAACAAAATTTTACTTCATCTTTTGTATTATTTAGCACTAAACTAGTGACACTAATCAAAATATTTGATTTGATAAGGCACTCAACTTGGGCCTTTCATAGCTTGCCACGTGTCCCATTGACATATACACATCATGACCCACCGTCATATCTAGAATTTTATTTTTGACCATCTAATTGGAGCTCACTTTATGCTAGATATTTTGTACTTTGAAAGTAAACTTTTCTCAGCCATCCAATTTGACACAGTTAAAACTTAAAAGTGATCATCTGTGCAAGTTGATTCCTCTCTGGTCAATATCTCCTGATCCTTGATACTATGACATCTGGCTAGTTTTGGGGCGGATCCTGCATAAAAGATATTTTTCCTAAGTCATAAAGCCCAAAGACAAGACGAGTGTTGGAAAAACCAAAAGGATGAAAATTGGGAAATTTTTCATTTGGCCTTTCTATACTGAAAACAGCCCAATAGACCACGATGCTTATCAAACAGTCTTGGTCTTTAAAGATAAGATACCGAACGTTCAATGTATCTTTTCTTCTACTAGGCTGTTGAAAGATCTGCATAGAAAGACTTGTCAAATACAACCAAAGCAACCAGGATCATATAGAGTGGCGAAAAAGAGTTTGACTTCAGTCAGGATAAAGCCCGTTCAAGCAGCTTTTACTGCCTTGCATTGAGAATATCTCTGTACTTATATGCTTTATTTTATAGAGAGATATTCCCAATGCAAGGTTGCAAAAAGATGTTAGAACGGTATGGGCACAGGTTTTCCCTGATAGAAGCCGATCTCGGCAAAAAGCGTTAACACACCACTAAGCAGTATACCAAAAAAATGCCTACACAACACCCCCTTGAGCAGGAAACATCCAAAAGGTGTTCCCTCCAAAAGTGATTTTCAAATAACCCAAGATAGAATGCAGTACAGAAAAATTTGTACCTGATCAGCCCAACCAAACAGGATTAGGGTTTGGTAAAATCTAATCACCCATATGATGGAGAAACAGACACACAGCACAATGATACCAAACACACCCCCTACTAAGGTTACTGAGATACAATTTAAGCGGGTCAGGCAGTCGGGTTGGGCTCAACATGGGCCGAATATCCTACATAAATACAATTTAAATATACATGATAAAGTATAAGCGTTATATAATTAAAAAGCATATAGGCCTATATCAAGTACAATAATGTACAAATTTGTACTATACATTATGTAATGTTTTGTGGGCTCTGAATGGCCTTAGGCCAAATCCCAACTACCGACAATCAATTCCAAGCTGGAATGAGGCCCAATTTCTTCCCCAGGCCCATTTCGAAGTAAGGAAATTGAAGCCCAGTCTATGAGAAAGGGTTGGGTGCTCATCGCCTATTTCCATTTTCCAGTAAAAAATGAAGAGATTTCAAGGTATGAAGCTGATCTTTTTTCTCTCTGATGTGTGGTGTCGTGTCAACTCCCATTTCTTTTAAGACACTGGGTGAAAACTAGTATGGGACGATGTGGAATTGCTACTTGATAGCCTAGCAAAGCACCTTGCTTTCGGGGCTAATAAGCAATAAAATCTTAACCTTGTGGAATTGCTGGAAGGGTTATAGAAAACTTTTGATGCAACAGGTTATGAGTAATTCTAATTCCTACCGGTGAGCTTGGGCTATTCACTAACGACAGAAATCATAATCCTTTCGACTGATGATTATAGAGATATGGTTGTATCATTTCAACCTATCTTCCTTGGCTCTCTAAAACAGTTGCATCTTACTCTATTTATTAACAGTAAGTTGTTGAAAGTCAGGATGTTAGAAAAGACATCTACAACAGCACCAGTGAGAATATGTTCCAAGTTTGAAAGTCTGGGAAGAGTTGGGAGCAGGTCAGAAAAGACATGGGTTGGGGTAGTGAAATTATTTGAGAGCCCGTAAGTAATATAACAATGAATCTGATACTTAAACAGAGTGGAACAGCATAACAGGTAGAACAGGATTCATGCAGCCGACCCCATATACTTGGGGACGAGGCTCAGCTCAGATGAGCTAAGTTTCTCAAATTCTGATTATGTTTCAATGCTTTTCTATATTTTCTTGGGAGTTCTAACCATGGATTGTTCAGTGCCCACAAAATTAAAACCATGGACTGTTCAAAGTTGCTGCAAGAGCAATTCTAAACATACCCATTAGCCAAACCCATCTTTCAACTTGTCAACAAAATTATCTGCAAAAGATCCTTTCTTTTGAATGGTAGGAAGCTCCTATCTAGTGATTCTTTTAGTGGTGTGTCCCCCAGCTGCTGCCATTAGATGCACTGGTCTTTCCTCAAGGTGGTACAGTTATTGAAACTCAAACTTTACAACTAGGCAAATTCCTCTGTCTAACCCTTTGGCGCCATCACATATATAAAAATCAACTAAGCACATATATCTTTTTCCATGTCAGAGTACACCCACTTTCACCAAAATGTCTCTACCAGGGCTACTCGCATGTGGAGAACTTTGTTTCTGTGAAGGCAGAAGTTACTTGATCCTCTTGGAACGTCTACATGTTTCTGTGAAGGCAGAAGTTACTTGATTCTCTTGGAACGTCTACAGACAACAGTGAAATATATTATCAAGGTAACTCAGAGGGAGACCATTAGAATGGAAAAACGTGCATCAGCAGAAAGAAACATTTATGAACAGATTATCTCCCATTTGGTCACTAATATACAATGCCAGGGGAGTCATATGCTTCCTCTTCTTCGGACTTAACAGCATCATCATCATTTTCATCTGTACAATCAAGTTATGTGAAGACCTTAGGCTAGGGGTTCGCTCTCAAACTTTTTCACAACATATATCTCATAATTTTCACTTGATACCTGATACCTAACTACAGGTGGAGAAGTGAAGAGAGCAATTGAAGTATTCTGTACAATATGGCGAAGGAACTTCTAGTCATCTGATTCAAACTCATTCTCAGCCATAATCACTCCCAACCCATCAACATTTTCCTAACACAGTCCTTAATCACATTCCTTGGTACAGAAGAGCCATCCCCTTCATCAAGAAGGATTCTGTAAACTTCCCATTCCCGATCACCAATCACATGCCTACCAATTTCAGCCTAGGAAAGAAAAAAAATGTTCAGATTAATTTGTTTTGAGTTAACTAGGGATATACACATGCATAGAAAAAAAAAACTTGAATTTATACAATAGACAAGATAGAAATGTACCGAGAAGATGCACGTTTTGAGCATCCTGAGAGCAAGGGTGATGTCATAAAACACAAGAGGCCGCCCCTTTCCAGAAAATTCTACAGGGTTCACAACCAGCAGCTCTGTGTCAGGACCTCGGCTTACAACAGCTACTCGGAGAGGATGAAAGAGTTCCATCCGTAGGCGCGAGGATAATGCATTTTGCTTGTTTGGATCAACTATCTTCTTCCTATCTGATTGCATTACAAACAATTCCACCTCGCAGCTACCCCTTTGCTTTGCAGAAAACCTTCCATAAGAAATCTGACACAATAAAATTTATAAACAATGTTTAAAGAATACAACTTTACTGTTCTTCATTCTTGAAACAGTTAAATTGGAAAAAAACATATCAAATTATACATCAAAAGAGGTGATACTGTGATACTGAATGGCAACGCATAGCATGCAAAAATATTGATCATTGGTGGAAATATGGAATTGGTCAGTCAATAAAAATCCCAAACCAAACAATTTGGATCATATTTGTGCTGTGATACTGCTTTTTGTTGTCAATGCATGGGAACCTATTAAGTAATCTAGAAAGGGAATTTTTTTTTGAAGCCTGAAAAGGCGAAATTCAATTAACATGCACTCTCAATAGAGTCTTTGTTAATACAAGACAAAAGAAAATCAGGGCAAAGCGACCATGTCTGAGTATGCTCAATGGTAAGGCCATGTTTGGCTAAATGATGAGTAGCACTGTTGGCCAATCTAGGAGCAAACTGTACTGAGCACATTTGAAATCTTGAGAGGTAAACTCTGCAATCAGCTAGCAGCAAGTGCAGTCGCCAATGAGGAGATGAATTCGTCTCCAACAGAGCTTTAATGACATTTAGAGAATCACCTTCCACCACCATATTTGTAATACCAAGATCTAAACTGTATTTCAAGTAGTGTTAGAGTTCCAGTAATGTTCACCTGGATATTGTAATCCTTCAGAGTTCTCATAATGTCATAGAGGAGGCCTTTGTGATCTTGGCATGTGATTTGGATGACTGTGTGAGAAGGACTGAGTATGTTGTCCATTGTAACGGATACATTGCATTGTGCAGAAGACCCACTTTTGTGTTCAGGCATTTCTAGACTGAACATTTCTTCTGTGATTGCTGATAGGAGAAATGAGGAACCCTGTGGACATGATACCATCTCAGAACCGGCCAAATCAATATCACAACTTATCATAGCATCACCTAGAACTGCTCTCAAATATTCACATGTATCTTCTTGTCTCTTCTTTGTATGTAGGAGTTCCCTGTTCAATGTCCCATAAAATATTTGAACATAAGTTGAGAACAAGAATAATATAGCTACAATTACATTTAAAGTTGTTGCCAAAAGAGATATGCACATATGAATGAAAGAAAATTCCCCCATTTCTATGAACACAGTTCTGGGTCTTGTCACTGTCTGTTACATGTATACTACATGTCAGCAAGCAGTTACCAATCTGACTAAACTCTGGATGTTATGCAAATTTGATACACTGAAGCCTCTCTAATTTTTAGGAAATGAGCTTCTGCTCACTACATCATTTTCTTTATGGTACTGATTACTGATCATCCAGATCAAAGTTGCCACCATGATATTTGGCATAGTATATGTAAGGAGCACCTACATTTAAATGGACTAAATAGTCAAGGCTGGTGATCCAACAGAGCTATCCCTCCAGATCACATATAAAAGGATTCTTACAGAGTCTGGATTATACAAAATTCTGAGATGTTCCTGTTAACAGGATGCCTAGCCTTCATGAGTCCAATTAATGGCCACATGGCCATATCTTAATTTCAATGTAATAAACCAAGTCCAAAAACTGTTCTTACAAGAAAAACAATACAGCCACATGATGAGGCACCATACACAGAAAATACAATAGAAAATAAAAAAATCAATCTCACCTAAGAGTATTCTGAATGCAAGGCTTGTTCAATCAAATGAAAAGTAAACAGAAATAACAGTTCAAATGTTAAAAAAGGGGTAGATAGCCCCTATAATCAAGAAATAGTATGATTTCTATATGCTAATTGGAAACCACCTAGAAATAGTATTTTTCTTTTTTATTGTAGTGGACCTTTAGCTTTACCTAAGCATCATCAGAGGTACATACACACATTATATATTATATCTACCTAAAACCACATGAATGTTTGGGTGTACAAAACAAAGAACATGGCCTGCCACTTAATGGATCCTGCCACAGTGATTACCTATAACAAGATTCAGTTTGATCAAATGGTTATAACCGAAAAGTCTAGTGTGCTCATTTTAATAGTAGTAAGCTACTACGCTTTAGAAATACCATACAGATCTGTCAGATCAGATGGTAAAAGAAAATCAGATCACACTGATTTTGGTACAGACAACCTCTTGGCAGGCAGGGACCCATTGAATGGTCCTGATCTCTGCTATATATATTAATCAATCAATGGTTCAGAGCTGAAGCTGAAGTCCCTCCATAGATCATTTTTCTTGCAAGAAACTAAAAATGAGGTCATTTTAGCATTCAAATAAATACAATCGAGTTTTCTATTTTTTCCCTAACATTCCACTACCATTGAAAGGTATATCCTGTCATCTCCACAGACTTTTCTGTCTCCACTCATTTAATACCATTTGTAATTCACAATCAACAACCTTATACTTACCATGTAATTAGAAAATTTTCAGCAGAATCTTTCAACAATTTTGTAATATTTGATCAATTGAATTTATTGAACCATCAGACTTAATAACTAACACAATTACTGGTGAACAAGGATTTTATCTCTGGCCTGAGTACAGATGAATAAACACGTATAACTTGTTATTCCTATATGTGAACTGAAGATTCTCCCTTAACTATTATGACCATTATTGGGGATCAATTTGCCTCCTTAAATTATCCACCATCCCAAGTGATTAACTCAATACCATTTGGATTAGTTAAGACCATGAAAATGAACTAAACTAGAATAAAGTCAAGAAATTAAACAAACAGGGCAAAAAGAAAGAACATGAAATAGACCATGCAGATATGCAATATCATATGTTAAGGAAAGGAAAGGAAAAGAATGAAAGGTAGATATGGAACCTGGTATCTTTGATGACGAACAAGTCCATCACCTTCCCGTCTGGTGTGGTGGATACCTTCACTCTCCTTATTATAAGCTCGAGCTCGCCGAGTACCTTGGTGACATCTGCAAAATCCCCACAAAATTATTTATTGTTCAACCCCTAAAGCTGAATTCAAGCAATATCTTGAATTACAATTCTCACATCAGACTGAGAAACAAAACTTAGAGAATAAAGATCCCAAAGTCCCAAAAATAAATAAAATAACGAGCAAAGGTTCAACTGTAACCCTCAAAACCCACAAAGAACAAAAGGAAAGAAAAAAAAGGTTGTAAGAGAACTAAATAATAAGTAAAGATTTAACTGTAAACTCCGCTGTCTAATGATTTTCAAAAAAAAAAAAATGTTGAAGAAACTTGAGGGAAGAGAGAGAGTGAGAGAGAGACCGTGCAAAAGCCCTGTTCGATCATAACAACATAATTTCAACAGGAAAAGGTCTGGGGGCTTCGGCTGCTGCAACTCTGCCCTGTAATAGTATATCCCTGAAGCCGAAGGGCAAGCTTCTGCCAGTCTTATCTTCAACAAACTCCACCTTGTCGCCGGCCTTCCAACGACCCAGAACACTATGTAACACCATTTCCCATCCGTCGAAATATCTGGACCACGAAATCAAAGAGAAAACAAATTATCAAAAAATACCAACCAATAGTCCATAAGGAAGAAGGACCAGAACATCCATGTTTGGTTTTTTTCTTCATTCTACAAATCTTCCTCACCTCCTCTCACAATGCTCAACCCAAAGAAGAGTATTATGCGGCAAAGATCGCATCCTAAGCCTGTTTTGTCTGGGCAGTTGACAGTAATCACACTCGGGTCACCTGGTTTTTCTGGTTCCCTAATGAGAACCACGTCATCGGAAGGAATACCCATCTCTTCTTCCTCTTCGATCGTTCAGAAAAGTAAAGACTTTCTCTCTTCTCTTCTTCTTGCTCGATTGTTTTTGCTCTGTTCTTCTCTAACTGGCCAGAAAAGCTCCGAAAGAAGCGGAATCAGAGCATATTTAAGTACAAAAAGAAAAGAGTTTTCTTCTTTCTTCTCCAATCCACCAAGAGACTGGACAGAATATCAGGCAACAAACAGTAAAGCAGATATGGGTCTCTCTGCTTCTCCTTCACTTGTTCTTCTCTGGTTCTCGTTTTGCTTCCTGTGTCTTCCCCACTTTTTTTTCCCCTCTCTCACATCGGCCAATGGCGACTGGGAGACATGGATGATATTAATATAACTGTCAAAAAATCTTGCAACGAGATACCGGCAACAGTTATGGTATGAAAACTCAGCGGACGATTCAACAGCCTGAAGCAAGCGTGACTCGGGCGAGTAAACTCAGCAACAGTGTAAAGCCAAAATGGTAACAAAAGATTGATTAATATAGATGCAAATTTGAAAAGTTACTTTAAAGGGATCATTTGAAAACAGCTGAAAAACTTATTGTTTTATCTTAAGATTTTTAAGTGGTTGGGGGTTCCTTAATGGCTAAAGCTGATTAGCTGAAGTTAGATAGGTTAATATATTCTGAATGTTTTATTTATTTAATTATTTTATCCTAAGCAATTGACTCCATTAATTCAGCTGTTATATAATTCATTGTAATATTTACCATCATTCTCACATAATCTGTATTGTGTAATATAAAAAATACTTACAAAATATTTAACACTATGTGAATAAATATTATTGAAACACATTTCTTTTTTAAATTATTATTATCCTTCATTGGTGTACATTTCATTCAAATATAAAATATTTTATGTATATCTATATCCGGTGGTGGAGCTAGGAATTTCTTTTGAGGGGCCAATTTATATAATTTTTTTGGCTTATGGTTAGGGGTGGCCACGAGCTGAGTTTTTTATGAGCTATTCGAACTTGGCTTGGTTCGGTTTAAATCGAGCTTCAAGTCGAGTTTGAGCCCAATTTACAGGCTCATTTACTAGTCGAGCCTAGTAAAGCCCGGCTTATGAGGCTTGTGAGCCTAATCGATTTTCTACATATATGTATGTATACATACATACATACATACATACATACATACATACATACATACATACATACATACATACATACATACATACATACATACATGTATATGTACATGTACATGTATAAAAATAATAAATATAAAAATGTTATACATAAAGAAAATAATATATATATATATAATATTTTTATTTATATATATAATAATAATAACAACTAATTATTATAATTCTTAATTTTTAAATATCAAATAAAGTAATTTTTATATATAATTTTTTTATTTTTATAAAACATTTGACTCACAATCGAACTCGAGCTTATGAGCTTTTGACTCGACTGAACTCGAACTCAAATCTCTAGTTTGAACTGAGCTTGAGTCTCATATTTTTTTGGTGAACCGAACTCGATTAGCTAGCTATTCAGCTTGGCTCAGCTCAAATCCACCCCTACTTATGATAATGAAAAAATTATATTAAGTAAATTATATAATAGAGATTGGCCACATAAACAACACAAATAGAGAGAGGGAGGGCACTCACAGGGTTACTTTTCCCTTGGTTGCCTTCTTGACAAAAACAAGAAAATGAGATAGGGAGTAGAAGTCTATAAGAGGTAAGGTTTGAAAAGAAAAAATTAACAAAATTTTTTAATTTTGGGAGTTAAATGGAGGCATGGGATGTTGGAGAGTTAGAGAGTAATCATCAACATTTATGCAGCTTCTATGATTTTTTTTTAATTAATTTACAAATAAGAACCATGATAAGACATGTCAAACTTTGCCTTTTAGTGTTCTTGGATTAGTCCCAACACAGCGTAAGAGTTGCATAAATTTCGTTGTTTAGGCTCAGTTTGGAAAAAGTACAAATACAAATATATGGAATGTAAAACTTTGTATTTTGTATGCATTTGTATTCTATGTATTTATATTTATACTCTTTCCAAATTGAACTTTATTAGCATATTTCTTGTTTATGCAAGCGTAAAGAAGAAAATGACATATAGTGAGATAGAGATATACTCTCTCTCTCTCTCTATATATATATATATATATCTGAACAGGTTTCAAATGGATAGGATTTGATTCGGTTCAAATTCAAATTGTTCAAGTCAGGATCAGGCATTTGCACATATAGCTATAATCATACTGATTTCATCCATTATGATACAATCTGATATAATCAAATACACTTATTACAAAAGTTCTTTTAAAATTTTAGTTTTAAGGCCCTATTTGCTTTTCGGTAAGTAAGCAACCTAGGTAAATGCAGTTATCTAGGTAATTTTTTCCTAAGAAACACTTGCCCGGGTAAGTGCATTTACCCATGTTCTTTTATTTCTCATATAAACAAGGCAATGACCATTTTAGCCATAAAAATCCATTATTAAAAGGGGCATTTTTATCTCATTCAAGTGTTGGCAACTTTCCCCCTAGGTGAGAAAGTTATTTATCCACATAGGAGATGGGTATTACTTATCGGGGTAAGTGATACCCGGGAAAATAAACTTTCCCTAATCCCCACATAAATCTGAAAGAAGAACATGAGAATCTTGATCAATAGAAACCAAAATCCCATTGACCAACTTTTAGGGGGCGTTGTTTTTTCGGATTTTGAGAGGGGGGAAAGTTGATCAATGGAATTTTCAGATACACCTACATTTCTATTTACAACATTTTCTTTGTTTTATATTTAATTTTGTAAAATTTTCTGATTGATACAAATTTGTTGATATTTAAATTCAATCGAATTCAAATATGGTATTTGGACATACAAAAGAATTAAATTATACTCCCTGTATAAATCAAATTCAGATTTCTTGGATTCTCAAATCAGTTTCAAATGATCCAAATCAATCCGATCTTTCTACAACAACATGGCCAAGGTCCAGTTTGCAAATTTTTAAAGAAAAAAAAAATCTACTGAGGCCGTTGTCATATATATTGAAATGCGAATTCACAGTGGTGGATCAAGACCTTTGATCAATGGGAGGCAATCGTTATCATAATATCAGTTTAGTCATAACAATATGGGTTTGAAACAGAGACAGCGCTCCTCATCCCCAACCCCAACCCTTTTATTGGAGAGAGAGAAAAGTTAACCTCCATCCCCTTGACTTTTTTTTAATTAATTTTTTGTTGGAAAAAATATTTACATAAATAAATGAAAAATTTTAAGTATACAATTGGGGTTGGGGCAAGGCAAGGGCTTCACTCCCCATCCCCTCCCCTGAACTCGATTGGATATCCCTATTAATTCCCATTGTCACCAAGGTAGTCTCCATCCCTGACCCTATTAGGTCTAAGGAGATGAAATATAATGATAAAATTGAGCTGTTAAGGGATGTGAAAAGAGGAAAAAACAAAAATAAGAAATGGAAAATAGAAAAATGTAAAAGTTAAAACTCCAAGTCTCAAACCTTGGTCCACATGGGACAATGATATGGGTGTAATTCTTGTATATATTTCACCTTTAAAGAAATGATCATCGTTCATACAGTCCCTTGCAGCCTTGTATTGGGAATATATCCCCATTAAAAAAATATACAATTACGAAAATATTCTCAATGCACGGTTGTAAAAGACTTAAACGGTGTAAGTATGGTTTTGCAATCACTGAAGTCTATCTGGGGGGAGGGGACAGAGGAATGCATAAAACAACGATAATAACAGATTTTTTGTAGCCTGAAAATTTATAGGTGCGCTAAGATGGGTTTAGGTGACCAATGGCTGCCTTAAACCCACACCAAACCCCAACCTAATAATCCAATTGCCACCCCTACGTACAAGGCAAAATAAATGAAGATGATGCTGATTGTGGTAGGAATTGAACCTGATACCGAATCTCACCTTCATAAGGATTGGGTGATGGATTACCTCCATAATAAGGCCCATTGGGGTCTTGGTCCAGCAACCGAAGAAAAAAAAGACGATGATATAAATATTACCATGCGTCCATCCATAATGTGAATTGATGATGCACAATCTGGCCGGTCTTAGCTGTCAATAATCTTGCCTCTGAACTGAGTAACAGGGACCTGAAACGGAAGGAGAAGAGAAGCTCCAGGGAAAACCCGGCGTAAGGGCTCCGAAGCTCAAGTTAGAATCCTTCAAAGGCAAGATAAACCAGATAGCGCGAAAGTTAGCATACCTCGTTCCTGGGGGGTAGAAGCCTTTTATAACCACCTCGCGCACTCA